AGTGGCACGCGTGACACACGTTGTGTGGAACACGTGGTGCGTGACACACGTTGTGCGTGGCACGCGTGGCACACGTTGTGTGGAACACGTGGTGCGTGGCACGCGTGACACACGTTTGGAACACGTGGTGCGTGGCACACGTTTGTGGAACACGTGGTGCGTGACACACGTTGTGTATGGAACACGTGGTGCGTGGCATGTATGACACACGTGTATGGAACACGTGGTGCGTGGCACGCGTGACACACGTTGTGTGGAACACGTGGTGCGTGACACACGTTGTGTGGAACACGTGGTGCGTGGCACGCGTGACACACGTGTGTGGAACACGTGGTGAGTGGCACGCGTGACACACGTTGTGTGGAACACGTGGTGCGTGACACACGTTGTGTGGAACACATGGTGCATGGCACGCGTGACACACACTGTGTGGAACACGTAGTGCGTGGAACACGTTGTGTGGAACACGTGGTGCGTGGCACACGTTGTGTGGAACACGTGGTGCGTGGCACACGTTGTGTGGAACACGTGGTGCGTGGCACACGTTGTGTGGAACACGTGGTGCGTGGCACACGTTGTGTGGAACACGTGGTGCGTGGCACACGTTGTGTGGAACACGTGGTGCGTGGCACACGTTGTGTGGAACACGTGGTGCGTGGCACGCGTGGCACACGTTGTGTGAAACACGTGGTGCGTGGCACACGTTGTGGAACACGTGGTGCATGGCACACGTTGTGTGGAACACGTGGTGCGTGGCACGCGTGACACACGTTGTGTGGAACACCTGGTGCGTGGCACACGTTGTGTGGAACACGTGGTGCGTGGCACACGTTGTGTGGAACACGTGGTGCGTGGCACACGTTGTGTGGAACACGTGGTGCGTGGCACACGTTGTGTGGAACACGTGGTGCGTGGCACACGTTGTGTGGAACACGTGGTGCGTGGCACACGTTGTGTGGAACACGTGGTGCGTGGCACACGTTGTGTGGAACACGTGGTGCGTGGCACACGTTGTGTGGAACACGTGGTGCGTGGCACACGTTGTGTGGAACACGTGGTGCGTGGCACGCGTGACAGACGTGTGGAACACGTGTGGTGCGTGACACACGTTGTGTGGAACGCGTGGTGCGTGGCACGCGTGACACACGTGTGTGGAACACGTGGTGCGTGGCACGCGTCACACACGTGTGAAACACGTGGTGCGTGACACACGTGTGTGAAACACGTGGTGCGTGGCACGCTTGACACACGTGTGGAACACGTGGTGCGTGGCACACGTTTTTTGTGTGGTGTGGGCGCGATGACACCTCACTCACTCTCCCTCCATAACAGCCATTCACATGACACTCACCCAATCACACTCCTTCATGCACTGCTCAGCTCCCCTTTACAATCCTGAGTGGAAAATTCCACATTCCTATGGAACATCGTTCCTATGGAATGTGGAATTTTATCGACCCCGGCAAGATGATGGGCTGAGTTAACACCCACCCACCCCCATTCCCAACCAAGATTTGGACTCGCAACCTTCCGATTGCGAGCCACTCACTCCATCGCTCACTTGCCTCACGACACACACATAATTCACACTCCATATCACACTCGCATCACAGCACACATTAATCACAACACAACGGTCAGTCACATCACACAAGACAAAAGATCCCGAAACAGACTGTTGGGGCAAGTGCTGTGAGCTAGCACCTATGTATGTAGCCAGCCGTGCTAATCGGTGGTCGGCGCGGCACGTGAGATGGGTGGCCAGCACCAAGCCCGACCGCCTTTGTCTCTCTAGCAGCGATGTTTACACATGACACCAGGTACTAATTTGAGGCAGAGTCGACCTGAGGCCTAGGCTCGCTTCAGGTATTCATCACCGATGTTGGAAATGAGCAGGAATCGAACTCGGGTCGCCGGGTTCGTAGCGCAGCGCGCCAACTGCGACCCGACCTCGCCTGGTCTACAGGAGGTTGTGGGTTCGATCCCGACCCGGACGCCTGCTGCTGCTGCTGTATATTTGGAGTTTGCGTGTCTCTCTCCCCGTGATCGTGGATTTATCTCCAGGTCCTCCGCTTTTCCCCTCCACATTTAGAATCATCATGCGCTTTATAGTATTTGGCTACTGCTATGAATAGCCACACGATGCGCCACTTCGCTATCATTCGTGATGGCCAGGTCGCTTCTGCAAAAAGAGCCATGTGTAGAAGCCCAGTGGGCCTTATCTGGTCAAATAAAGAAGTAGTTTATGTTTGTACAGGTGCACGTGCGGAACGTGAAGACACTTGTCGTGCTGCACCACTGCCCCACGTGGTGGTGTCGCGGCGAGAAAGGACGAGGACGGCAGGCGACAAGTGGCGAGCGCGAGTTTATATGGAGCGACAGGGCTCAAGGGGGGCACGAGGGGCGGGGCACGAGGGGGGGGGGCACGAGGGGGGGGTACGAGGGGGGGGGGGCACGGCTGCATTCGGCATAAACACGGGCGACGCGGCACAGGGTCCGAGCAATACTGAGCGCGGGGTGAGGAGGGAGGGGCATGGAGAAGGGGGGAGAGGCAGGGGGAGAGGGGGCTGGGGAGAAATCGGGGATGCAGAGGGGGGCACAGGGAGACTCGGGGGGGGGGCACGGGGAGCAAGGAGAGGAGGGTGGGATATGAGGACAGCGGACGGAGGGCATAGGGAGATAGGGGACAGGGGGAGACAAGGGGGGGGGGCACGGGGGCGGGCGGCACCGCGCGCGCCCTGCGAGTAAGGCAGGCGGTGTTTTGCTCATAGTCGGGTCTCTCTATATATGTATATATGTGTGTGTGTGATTGATATAGGCGCGTGTTTGCGTGTCTCATATATTTATTTATATAAAGATTCTATTTTTCTCCACCCCCTCCAACCCATCTTTCCCCTTTACCCCCCCACCGCCCCGTCCCCCGTGAGCGAAATTGCATAACTCGTGTTGCTGTTGATAGCAACGATCTCGCACCCCTCCCAACGCGTGCCGGGTAGTGCAAAGGGTGCACACCTGCCCCTCCCCTCTGAACCCACCCCCCCCCCCAGAGGTGCCCCCCCCCCCATATCCTAACCTCAAAACCCCCGGGGGACACATGCCCTCTGACCCTTCATAGGCAGGTCATCTCATCACACACACACGCGCCAGGGATGGATATTCCCTCGTGGCTCGTTTCGTCTCCTTTCTATTGTTTCTTTCTCGAGTTTTGATGCTGAATCTCGTCGTGAGAGATGCTCACCGGCGGATATTCTGCTTCCTCTTCGTCAGTCTCTCGTCCATCGATACCCACGCCACCCGACTACGTGATCACCTGCCACCACCACTTTCAATTCATGAACCGTTAAAACACCCAGGGGATGCACGTGTACTCATTTGAATTCTCCAGCGCGGCCTGTTGTGTAGACTGAGAATGACAATGCCCCCCCCCTCTCCCCCCAGTTCTCTCCTCTCGCTGAAACACCTCCTTCCTCTGGTCAACCAGGGCTCATATATACCGTATATACACACACAGACTGGCTAACACAGCCACAAACTCATACATACATAGACAAAGACCCTCCTTGTAAGCCTTTAGTCTGTTGAGGCAGGTGCTGTTAGCGAGCATATATGAAGGCGTACATACATACATACACACAGATGCACGTATGCATCCATTCACAAACCACCCATCCCCCCTCCCCAACTCAAAGCGGGGGACACCTCTCTTCCCCCCCCCCCCCCTCAACCCCCCCCCCACCCAAAGAAACTCCCCACCCCGGGCCCGGGGTTGGCGGTGCGGTTGTGGCCCGTGGGTTCAGGGAATGTGTGCGTGAGCTGTACGTACAAAAATATACGTGTGTGTGTGTGTGCGTGCGTGCGCGCGTGCATGCATATACGTGCGTGCGTGTGCGCGGGGCTATGTACACGCCGGGGGCGCGCTCCGGAAGGCGCCGGGGTGGCACACGGCGGAGGTATCCGTGCAAGTCCCGTGGGGTCCTCCGCTTTCGGTCCGTGCGTCTCATATATTAAGTCTGTCGCGGTTCTTCTCGGCTGCGAAGCTTCGCACGGGCGAGCAGGACGGGGGTCGGGTGGTGGTCGCGGCAAATTCATCCCCGCTCCTCCCCACACACAAACACATCTCAATCTCTCGCACGCACTTGTACACGCACAGGCACACGCAGATATACAAAGACAAAAAGGTACGTACAACAGCCGCCATTCGCCATGGGGCGGTTGATGGCATTACCACAGCGCTGTGCCAGGCTGTGTGCACTTTGAGGCCACGGTGACGTCGAAGGTTCGCTGCTGGCAGGAGGTCACCGAGTTAACTGATTGAGACGACCGATGCCAACTTGCTGCACTTTAGCCGCCCGGCGCTCCGCTCGTTGTGAGCGTCGCTCCTCGGCGCTCCGCTCATTGTTGGAGGGCGACTGCCTCCAACTGCCCAGCAGCGTCCTTCACGAGCCTCCTCCACAGAGGCCGATCTTGACACCGCTGGTACCAGTCATCAGCAAGTCTAATCAGTTCCAATCCATCTCTTCTCTTGCCCATATACCGCGCCTGTATTAGTCACCACTATCCGGCCAAATAGGAGCTGCTTGAGGAATGTGACCCAGCCAACGCAGCCGTGTCTGCCAGAGGAACCCACGGATGTGTGAGCTTCTCACACAATCCAGCCTGGTTCAACCCAGGTTGGATCGTAGGCAGGCCAGTGTGAATGTTAGAACGTGACAAGCAAGAGCATTGAGTGGTGTGAGACAGAGATCCCCCGTATAGCCTTAACATACGGTTGGGGCAAGTGCTATTAGCGAGTAGCGCCGATGAAGGCTAGCACGGTAGACGAGGGGGTGGGTGGCCAGCACCACGCCCGACTGCCTTTGTCCCTGTGGCGATGTTCACACGCCACACCAGGTACTCATTTGAGACCGAGTCGACCCAGCAGAGGCCCAGGATCTGTTCAGATAATCGTCACTGGTGTTGGTCATGAGCGGGAATAGAAATGGGGTAGCCAGGTTCATAGCACAGCACGCTAACCGCTGAGTGGTGTGAGACGCGCGCGCACACACACAGACATGCATACAAAAACAACGCCACATACACAAACACGCTGACAGAAACAAACGCTGTCCGACACACAAACAGACCCAACCGCCCCATACAAACGCGCTCTCTCTCGGACACACGCCTATGTACGCACACACAAACACGCACAGGTGCTGATGATTAAATAAAACGAGTCTTGTGGCTGCTGCTGCTGCTGCCGCTGCTGTTACACGGGCCCCCCGTCCCACCACCACCGTGCCACCACCGTGCCACCACGGTCCGTCGTTTCCGGGCGAATACTGAGCGAGTCTCCATGAGCACCGTGGAGGAGCCGAGGCCTCGCGTCCAGGCTCCCCGTCACCGCGACGACGCAGAAGCCACCGCCGCCACCGCCGTCGTCGCCGCGACCGTAAAAAAAAAAACAACAACAAAGGAGGAGGAGGAGACGACCTCCAGCCGGGCCCGTGCGGGAGCGCGCGAGTCCAGGGCCCCCCCCCGTGGGAGGGGCCAGGTAATCCCCACGTGGGGGAGGGGGGTCTCAATGTCCTGTGTACGGGCCTCTGGGACACTGTGCGCGCCAGTCACGGTCCACTACGTGGCGGGGGGGGGCCCTCGGGTTTCCACGCACGGGTGCCCCTACGTGTCCTGCGCGGGCCCCTCAAAGAGTTAAAACGGAAGGGGGGGGGGTCCCCTCAGTGGCTTGCGTGCGCCGTCAAGGTACGACAGCGGGTGGGGCCCTCGAGCGTTCCATGTACGGGGGACCCTCACCGACCCGTACGTGCCATTAAGGTTCCGCGTGGTGGAACCCTCATCAGTGACTCCGTGTGGGCCCTTGCAAGGCTCCGCCGTGGGCCCTCAGGCCCCATGGGGGCCTCGTCGGACGGCGAGGGTCAGTTAGGGGGACGCCCGCCCCCACCCCCCCACCACCACCAGTGGAGCCCCGTTGGAGGGGTCCACGAAGAAAGGTGCCGAGCGGTGGCGCCGCGGTGCCGTTAACAGCCGGCGGCGAGGTCCTGCTGCTGCTCTGGAGCCGGTGCTGGCGGCGAGGGGCAGGAAGAGGGCCCCCCACGGTGGGGCCCGCTGCCCCCCACTCCATCCCCCGTGCCCACCGCCCTCTCCCTGGGACTCTGCTGCTGCTGGTGCTGAGCGTTCTTTGCGTCTCGCTTCTCCGCGCTGCTGCTCGTGTTGTTGTGGTTGTGGTTGGCGGTGGCGGCGGTGGTGGTGGTAGCGGGGGGCGCTAGTAGCGCCTGCAGCTGGGACAGCCGCCCCTCGCTCGCCACGCGCGCCAACCGCTCGGCGGTGAGCTCCCCGTGCAGCCAATCGCGCTCCGCCTGCATGGCGCCCAGCCGGCGCGTCACCTGTGTACGGCACCCGCGCGCGCACGCACACGCAGGTCAAAACAAAGACAAAGATCCCTCGTATGGCCTGAACAGACCGTTGGGGCGAGTGCTGTTAGCGAGCGGCACCTACGGAGGTTGGCACAGTGGACAAGGGGGTGGGGGGGGTGGCCAGCACCACGCCCAGCCACCTTTGTTTTCCCAGTGGGGATGTTACATATAACACCGGGTACTCATTTTAGGTGACCTAGTGGAGGCCTAGGACTGGTTCAGAAAACCGTCACTGGTGACCGTGAGCGGGATAAAAACTCTGGTCGGCAGGTGAGCGTGGCGTGGTGATCGTGGCGAGTGTGGCGGTGGGCGTGGTGGGCACGTGCGTCACCTGTGCCAGGGCATCCCGGTCTCTGCGCGCCGCTCTCTCGCGCTGCTGGTGAATCTGTTGCGATCGCGCGATTCTCCTCAGCAGCCGCTCCCTCTTCTCGCTCCACTCCAGCGCCGAGTCGAGCAAACGGAGCACCTCCTCCACCTCGTCCGCCTCCTCCTCCTCCTCCTCCACCTCCTCGTCTCGCCTCAACCCCCTCCCCTCCCCGTGGCCCCCCTCCTCCCCCTCTCCGCCTCCGTGCACAGCCACGGTCCTCTGCTCCGCGCCCGTCGCTGCGCGCCGCTCCCCGGCTGCTCCGTCTCCACGACGACCAGCTTCCGTCTCGCCATCGTCGTGGCAACCACTGTCACCCATGGAGACGGGAGGCACGTTGTCCGAGTTGCCTCGGAAACCGTCGTTTCCATGGCGACCGCCGGAGGAGGAGGAGGGGGAAGCCGTGTCGTCGTCGTCGCCGTCGTCGCCGTCATCATCGTCGTGGCGACGCCCGTGGTTGCTGGGCGCGGGCTCCATGGTGACACTCCTCCTCCTCCGCGTGGAGTCGGCCGGGACCGGGGAGCGGCGTGGCGCCGCGGGGACTGTCGCCGTGGGGACTGTTGCCATAGGAACCGTCGGCGAGGACAGGCACGAGGTGGAGGAGGCTGTGGAGACGCGACAACGTTTGAGTCAGGATCAGCGCAGAGCGTAGGAGACACCAAGTGAACCAGATCACTTACCACTCGCCCACATCACTCCCCACTCACCTAGACCATTCACTACTCACCTAGATCACTCACCACTTACCCACACCATTTACCACTTACCTAGACCACTCACCACTCAACCATACACCGCTAAACTACACCACTCTCTCCACTCCTCTCACACCACTCCCCACCCAGCCCCACTCACCCTCATCTCCGTCCTCCGTCTCCACGTCCACCTCCTCCGACTCCCCGTCCGACCCCGTCGACCCGGACACCCCCGAGGGGGTCCCGTCCCCACTGGCCCCTCTGCCGCCAGCCCCCAGGGCGCGGCCCTCTCCCCTCGCAGTGGGGGGCCCCCCCTGCGCCTCCTTGCGGGGATCCCTGCCCCCCGCGGGGGAGAAGGATGAGAGAGACGACAGCGACGATGGCGACGTGAGGAGGGCGACAGCTTCTCCGGGCCTCGCCGCTCCTCGCTCCGCCTCGCAGCCCGGCGGCTCGGCGAGGGCCGGGCCCCCCACGGAGGGGTTCCTCAGCGGCGGGGGGCCTCCCCTGCAGTCGGGGGGGTCGCGGGGAGGGGACCCTCGCTCCCCGCGGCTCCCAACGCGGCCCTGGGGGTTCGAGGCCGCTCCTCCTCCTCCCGCACCACCCGGGGGCAGCGCCATGGGAACCAGCGCCACGTTGGGTGCCACGCAGCTGTCGTAGCTGCGGTAGGCACAGTACCTGGGGGTGGCAGGGAGGGCAGCATGGGGCAGCAAAGAGAGATGTTTGTTTATCAACGGTGCGAGGTGGCATGGAGTGGACCATTGCACGGCCGTGTTGTCAAGCGCAGCACGGCGTAGCGCAGTGAGGTGCAGAGTTCACAGGGGGTGCGGTGCGGAGTGGAAAAGGACCAGTGTGACGCGGCGTGGTGCGACGCTCACGGGTTGAGTGCGGAGTGAGAGAGGACTCCCATGGGCGCCAACATGAGGCTGGGGTTGTGCATCATGGCCGCCTGTGCCACTCCCGCGCCGCCATCTTTCTCTCCCTTCACGGCCGCTCCCTCCGTGGACCAGGGGCGGAACGCGGACGACCTCTGACCCCCACCGCCACTGCCCTCCGACCCTCCCCGATGGCTTGACTGTGCGACAAAATCAACGCGGCATCTCGTTGTCATGCGCTTATCGTATATGCACGCACACATACACGCACGCACACGCACACACTCGCAACAACTCGTGCATGTACAACGTTAGCATGCACACCTATAGACAACAACAGCCGCCATTCTCCACAAAGTGGTGGTGACGTCACCACAGACAGGCTAGGTGCATTTTGAGGCCAAGTGAAGTGTGGCAAGCGCCCTGCCAACAGAGGATCACATGACAGACCCAGGTGTTATGGGTTAACTGATAGATCGCTCCCCGCCGTCTCCATCCACAGACGAATACATAGACAAACAAACACGAAAAAACATGCACGCAAAGATGCACACTTTCACACAGAGATAGACATGTTGACATTAAAAACAGACATTCACAATGTATGCACACGCACATGCACACAGCCTCACACACGTACGCACGCACAGAGGAGAGGTCAAGATTCACGAGTTCACGAGCGGTGATGGCGAGCGGTGCGGGAGGTCATCCCGGAGTGTGCAGGGGTCGTGGCCCCGAGCAAAGCGAGCCCAACAAAGACGGAGCACGCACAGGTAAGTGTGGGGTGAGTGGGGATAGTTGAGTATATGGCAATACACACAGCACGGCTCACGCACGCACACACACACACAGCCACAGTGTTATCGGCAGTGTTGAAGGAACAGTGTGAGAGTGCATGAGGATGAGAGATTGGGAGAGAGTAGTAGAGAGTGCGAGAGAGTACGAGCCAGGGGGATATGTGCTAGTGGTGCTCACCTTGTGCTTAACGTCCCCGTGTCGCTCCCCGTGTCGCTCCCCGTGTCTCTCTCCGTGTCTCTCTCCGTGTCTCTCCCCGTGTCTCTCTCCGTGTCTCTCCCCGTGTCTCTCCCCGTGTCTCTCCCCGTGTCTCTCTCCGTGTCTCTCTCCGTGTCTCTCCTTGCCGATCGAGTGGAACTTTCCGACGAGGCACTCCTCCAGACGCTGCTTCTTCGCCTGCACCGCGTCATTGCCGCTCACCGCCTGCACCGGGGGGGAAACAACCGCACAACCACCGTCACGCTCACGATCGGCCAGGCAGCGGAACCGCGTGCGTCATGCCGCCGCCGCCACCGTCGGTGAAGTCACGGAGCTGGGGGGGGAGCTGGGGGTGCCAGAAGAGGTGGGGGGGCAGCCACAGGAAACGCAGATAAAGTCCGCGGTGGTAGAGAGGAGGGGGTGGGCGTCGCGGATTAAAACAAGGTTCGGCCAAAAACGCGAGGTACTGCTGCCAACGTCACGGATAAGGGTGATGGGGCGACCACACTGCAGCCCCAACACGCAAGCACACACACACGGCTACAACCCACACACACCACACGCACACACACACAATCCGGCCCCAATGAATGCACACACACCCGTCACCACAAACCCCATATGCACATCACACAAACACACACACACACCGGTCACCACACACACACACACACACCGGTCACCACACATACACACCGGTCACCACACACACACCGGTCACCACACACACACACCGGTCACCACACACACACACACCGGTCACCACACACACACCAGTCACCACACACACACACACCGGTCACCACACACACACCGGTCACCGCCAGAACCCTGCCCCGGAGCACCCGTGTGAGCTGTGGTCACTCCTCATACCCTCGGAAAAACAGTGCGGGTGGGGGGGTAGGTGAGATGTGTGTGTGGCACTCTGCTGCCTCGGTGTTGGTATTCACACACCGATTCAGGTACGTATTCTAAGGACCAAGTCGACCTCGGGGGAGGCCCAGAACCAGTTCAGATATGTTACCGATGTTGGCCATCAGCGGGAATCTAACTCGGGTCGCCGAGTCTGTTGTGCAGCACGCGAGCCGCTACTCTATCGCTCACTACGCAGTAAGAAACCGAGATCCCCCATATAGCCTCAAACAGACTTAGGGCAAGTGCTGTTCGCAAGCACCTATTAAGGCCGTCATACATGGTGCACGAGGGGGTGGTAGACTCGCACTAGCGCACACACACACACGCACATTCACACACTCGCAACAGCAGCCGCCATTCACCGCTAAGTGTGGCTGACGTCACCTGAGCACCCATGCCAAGCTGGGTGCACAGAGAGGTCAAGAATACAGGCACTCTGGCTGTGTGCTCACGGCTGCGGGGACCCTGATTGGACCCCCAAAGCTCCCCAAAGTGGGGGGTTCTCATCTCCTAGTGCCGAGCGGGGATGGCGGGGAGAGGCAGAGACCCCCTTTAGGACCCCCCCCCCACCACCCCTAGAGGACCCCTTCGCCAAGCCGGCAGGGTTTGTCGTCAAACCCCAGCGGCGCGAGTGAGGAGGGTGGGTGGCTTGGTGGGAGCAGCCCCATGTAACGTGTCTCCGTTGTGTCCTGCCGGGTGTGTTGCGTGTCGCGTTTCGGTGCTGTGGGTTCTCGTCGCGTCTCTGTGTCTCGATGCCGCGTCCCGCCGTCTCTGTTGTGCCACGATGTGGTTGGTGTCTCCGTGTCTCCCGTCTCCCTGCCTCCACGTCTGTGTTGCGTGCGTCTGTGTTGTGTCTCCCGGCTACAGAGGCGCGCCCGCATGCGGGTACACGGGGAGGGGCTGCGTTGTGTTGGCAGCAAAGTCGGCTACGCACGTCAGACCGCCCACACACACACACTCGCACACAAAATCATACCACTCTCACGCACATATACAAAGACACACACACCCACTCGCAGTCACACGTACACACACCCACTCACATGCAGTCACACTCCCACACACACTCTCACGCACATTTACAGACACACACCGATGTACGCGCACACACACAAACTCTCACGCGCATATACAGACACACACACACCGATGTACGCGCACACTCTCACGCAGATTTAAAAAGACAAAGATCCCCCGTACAGCCTTAACAGACTGTTGGGGCAAGTGTCGTTAGCGAGTGCCTATGAAGGCCGGTACGGCACACGAGGGGGTGCGTGGCCAGCAACACGCCCGACCGCCTTTGTCTCCCCAATGCTTATGTTTTTACACACCATCACTGGTGTTGGCCCTTAGCAGGAATAGGACTTGGATCGCCAGGTTCGCAGCGTAGCACGCCAACCACTGCACTACCGCTCCCCACGCACAGTCTCCACTCCACACACCAACTGGCTTCCCCCATCTCCGCACACACTCACTCTCTCCACACAGACTCACTCCTGCTTGCTCTTTCTACTACACACACTCACCCTCTCCACTCCTCAAACCCACACACACGGCCACTCTCCCAACACACCTCTCCTGCGTACAAAAACCAAGACTCCCCGTATAGCCTTTCAAAGACTGTTAGGGCAAGTGCTGTCAGCGAGCGCCTATGAAGGAAGGCACACACGCACCCTCCTCACACCACACACCGTGCCCATACACTCCCCTGCACACACCCAGCCCTCCTCCCCACACACACCCACTCACTCTTCCCCATTCCCCCCCCCACACACTCTTCCAACTCTCCCCCCACCACCACCGCTCCCCACGTGACCAGGCGCCAACACAGACGCGAGCTTTGTCCTCCCTCTCCCCTCAACCCCCCCCCCCCCCCCGTCTTGGCCGTAGCTCTCACTGCTCTCGCTGATTTTCCTCTCTCCCTGCTCTCCCCCCTCCCTTCCCGTGCACTCTCTCTCCGCTCTCACGGTGGAGCACGTCACTCATTCTGAATCAGAGCCGGGGGGCCCAGGGAGGAGAGAGCGGGGGATGAGAGAGAGGTTCTCTTATGAGACACAGCCACTCTCCTCCACCCACCCACACACACACGCGAATACATACCACACACACACACATTCATTCACACACAGACACACAACAACAGCCGATTGCCACTCAGTAGCGGTGACGTCACAACGGCGGTTGTGCCAAGCTAGGTGCACCTTGAGGTGCACACAGATACAAGAAGATCGCCCTTATAGCCCAAACAAACGTTTGGAGCAAGTGCTGGTAGCGAGCACCTATTAGTACTGGAACGGTAAAAGTGGAGGTGGGTGGTAAGCAGCATGCCTGACCGCCTTTGTCTCCCGAGTGGCGATGTTTACACACCGCACCAGGTACTAATTTGAGGCCGAGTCTACCTAGGGGAGGCCGAAGATCGGTTCAGACACCAGTGTTGGCCGAGAGCGGGAATCGAACTCGGGTCGCCGGGTTCGTAGCGCAGCGCGCTAACCGCCACATTACCGCTCCCCACACAGATAAATAAACACTCGCACACATAGTTACACACGCACATATAGAAATACGCACACAATCACAAGTACACAGGCGTTCACAAACATACGTACGCGCACAAACGATACAGAATCACGTATCCCCCCCCACCCCACTATTCCATCCCCTCCGCCCCCACACCACGCATCCCAAACCATCCCTTTCCACCCCCCACACCACGTATCCCATCATCCCCCCGTACTGGCCCGAGGTCCAAGAAGCAACGACACGAGGCGTTTGCGTACCGACCCCTGTTGAGGGCCCCACGACAGCCTCTTCCCCCCTCCTCCTCCCCCCCCCATGCCTTTCCCTTCTCCCCCCCCCCCTACATCCCTCCTCCTCCTACCCATGCCTCCCCTCCTATTCCCCCATCCCGTCTCCCTCTCTCCCAGCCCCACTCCACTCGCTCCCACATCCGTTTACTACTTCCATGCCCCCCCCCCAAACCCCGCATCTCCATCATCCCCAACCCCATCTCCATCATCATCCAATGCCGTCACCCAATCGTGGCTGCACACGGGTCGTCAGTCAGCAATGGCTCCCAGTCCACACTTCTCCAGTCTGAATAATAATAATTTAAAAATATATATTCCAAAGTCAGTGAAATCCTGCTCAAATGAGCATTGAGGCACTGACGCTCATCTCTCTCCTCTTTACAGCCCTGAGCCAGTGCTGGAAATTCCATATTCCCAAGGCGGAGGCGAGTCGACCCAGAGGACGCAAAAAACGCTTTTAACTTCCCCATACAGTGGTGCGCATTTTGTAGACTCTGTAGGGATCATGGGCTGGAGTCACCCTCCCCACTCCGGCCCCAAACCGGGATTTGAACCCACGACATTCTCATTCCGAGCTGCTTGCTCTACCGCTGGTTCACTTAGGCGGGTAGAATAATAACGGGGTCCGTCATTTAGCCGGAAAAGTCTCACGGAGTCTCAAGACTCATTTTCAGGAGAGTGCTGCTGCAGAAGTGCTGTTTCGTACACTTGATTTGGAAGAAATTCAACGCAAGGTTTATGAGGTGACGCTCGTGGACCCGCACAGATGGATTCAATAATATACTGTTGCACTGACATTTCCTGGACAACTCCCAGCCCAATCCTGCAACACCTGGCATTCCCAGGCAGTCTCTCAGCCAATTACGAAGCAGGCTCAAACCTGCTTAGCTTCGAAGATCGTGGCCACTCGCATAGACACGCAACACGAGACCAACAACACGAACACCATCATCCCCAACAACCACCTCCCAACAAGCACCTCCATCACTATCGCATCACGTCACCACCGTTCCCATCACACAAACTAAAATCATCACGATTTGAAGCTTTTGCGACTGCATGAATCTATTCTCGTTGCTTCTTTCAGTAAATTCACGTAGGTAGAAAAATAATAGATCACGCCACACAAGCAACCGTTTTCAGGTGTGTGGCGATCGAAACGTCGTGATGTATTATTATTTTTCTACCTACGTGACTTTACCGAAAGAACCAAAGAGTATAAAATCATCACCTCCACACCAACTATCACCTCCATCATCACTACCATCATTATTATCACCACCACCACCTCCCTCACCCACCTCCAACATCCATCTTCACCCCCCAACGTCACTACCATCACCACGACTACATGTGTAAATCTCATGCGAATGAATATATTTACATTCGCTAATGTTATGTTTAAACAAATTATTTTGTGAAGCTGCTGCTGCTGCATTGACAGCGCCGCACAAGCATAAATAACAACACAACTCACATTCACCTATTATACTGTGGCGTTAA